TTTTAAAAAACTTAGTTGCAATAGAAAAATTTTAATGAAATTCCTGAGAGTACATACGCTGAAGAATATTTAATGGTCACAATAGCTGTTATACAAATCGATATATTGACACTAATAAACCACCTAACAAATATCTCTTGAAACAAAACATTCTACCAAATTTGTAAGTATTCTTTTCATTTTTTAAAAGCAATAAAGTGTATGAATAAGAAAAATTTCTTACATATATAATACATGTAACCATACATATTATGGTGTGATAAAATATTATCAATTAATGTGTTTATTAAAGAATTGTTGTTGATGTTGCATGTTTTTATATGTGTTTTTTTAAGCAGAACCCATTTCAGCAAAATCCGATATTTCGGGAACCACGTTATATCAATATATAAACGATATTATCAAAACCAACCAACCAATCGTAGCACATTGGAATCAGCAATAATGCCTAAAATTGTTAAAATTTAAGAAATTATTTAATATTCTGTACAACAATATTCTATATTAACTTATACTAATATGTATACATTATATATAAAGAATTATGAAACTTATTTATAATTGAAAAATTCGTAATTAAATTCTTTATATTGAATTAAAGCTACTCCAAAATATTATAATTTAAAACAAGAAATAATGTAATCAATATAAATTTATTTTGAAAATTCATGTTTAATCAATATTTAAGCAAATATCTAATCAATTCTTCGGATAAGACAAAGCAGCCTCTACAAACACAGAGAAGAAAGATACACCAACGTTTCTATATGACTTGCAATCAATACCCCAAACTAAGGTTGCCACTTAAAATACAAACTGATAAACAGCAGAATAAAAGATTGGAGAGTAGAATTCCATTCTCAAACTCTCTAGTTCTCAACGCTCTCAGATCTCCGATTAGAAGCTTTTGCCTACTTAAAAGCAATTTTTGCGTTCCAGTTTTTAGTTGACTTTTGCACATAGAGTGTGATTGATAGTAATCTGTCAATTATATATATAATTTTTAAAAGTTGATTATTAAAAATATTATACTTACATAAAAATGACTGAATCTAAAGAAAATAATGAAACTGCTGGTGGTCCTCACATACCGGATTGGTTAACTGAAGAACTATTTGTAAATATTTTAAAAGAAAAATTCCCAGAATTCCAAAAAATACAAGAATTTGATATTGTGCCGGCTGTTGGCACAGGAGAGAATTATATGACGATTTTATTACGAGTAAATATTGACATTGAACTAAAAGGTAAAAGTATTGGCGGCAAGAGATCTCGCTTGTAAACAAAGCTAATAATAACAACAAAAATATTTTATTTTCATGAAAATGTTTATAAATAAAATGTTTATTTACTATTTAAACACGTGTGTACATAACATTGTACAGCTAAAAAAAATATAACAAATCTCTTTGACGTCATTATCTCTTATTTGTAGCGCTACATCCAGTCGAAATAATCTATAACATAACTATGGAGAATATATTTCATAAGACTGCAGTGATTAGAAAAAAAATTACAACTTTTAGATAAAAAAAGAAATAAATACATTTTAAACCTTCTAAATTATAGTTTTTGTTAATAAATTAAAATCGTTTAAATAGTTTTTGCTTAATTTTAATTGTTACTAAATACTTAAATCTATAACTTCTAAATGTAAATCCGATAATTTATATATTCTTTAATACTGATGCTTTATTAAAAAGCAAAAAAGATTTTCTAATATCACTATCGACTTTTTAAAATATTTAAACGATTATAAAACAAAAAATATTTACATACATTTTAATTAAAAACTTATCACTTTTTAGACCCAAGTCTTTAAAAAAAACATAATAATTTGGAAAAATTAAGGATATTATAGAATACTATTAACAACATAAACATATATAGTTTTTGTTCCATTGACTTAAGAACTGTTAGTAATAAAAGAAATGATATTAACCTTAGACTTTATTATTGGGGTATAATTCATACTATCAGTGTTATGCACTGAAAGTATAATAACAAGTATAGTAATAATAGTAATTGTTTTTAATCTCAAAAATAAAACTCTAAAATCAAATATACATAAAAGTTTAGTTCTGATTAACAGCGATCATAAAAGACATAGAGATCAGATATCCATATTTATATGAATAACCAACATCAAATATAGCACACCATAAATTAGACTTATTCGATTATAGATAGCTATAACTAAAATATAATTATGAGCTATTTTATTATTTAATTGCAGATAGAAATATATATTTAAAATATTTGAAAAGATTTTTAATATTGTAATTATTTATTCAGTAAATTTTTTTGTAAATCTCGTATTTTCAGTGCAGTTATCTAGCATTTTTTAAAATTTAATTTTTCATTTGGTACATTGCAACCTTTTAAGTGCTATTAGGTACACTAATGCATTTTATATGAAATGTAAATGTAAGAATAATTTTTTACTGTAGGATATGAACATCTGATGTGACGATCAAACGCAAATACATAAAAATAAATATAAATATATACTAAAATCTCTATACTTTAGACCTCCACTCTAAATTTTTTGTAATATGTTTCAAAAAATTTAAATTAGTCTGAAAAATAAAATATACTCCAATAAACTAAATTTAATTATATTCTTTTTAGATGGTTCCATAACTCAAACATCATATATAGTCAAGTTACAGCCAAAATCGATTGAAATGCAAGGACTATTAAAAATATGGCAAGTGTTTGAAAAAGAAGAAAATACTTATACAAAATATTTGCCAGCTTTTGAAAAACTCTACAAAGATGCTGGGAAAGAAATTAAATTTGCGCCAAATATAATTCTACTAAACAGTGCAATATCTGATCCAGCTATAATAATGGAAGATTTACGTATAAGGAATTTTAAAAATGCCAAAAGACAGGATGGTTTAGACATAGAACATACAAAAGCCGCCTTAGAGAAACTAGCACAATTTCACGCTGCCTCAGCATGTTACTATGAAAACAATGGACCATATCCTGATATGTATTTACAATGCTTATGTGGCAATATGGATCTGTATGAAGAGTACAGAAATAATATGGTGAATTTATTTTGTCAAAATTTGGAATTATACGATGCCAAACCTATAGAGGAGAAATTTGTAAGAATTTTAATATTATAACAATACATTTTTAATTAAAAATATTTTGTACTTTTTAATACCATTAATTTTCAGAGAAAATTTGCTGCCGAAGTACCAGATCAATTTCAAGCGGTATCCAAACCTCTACCTGAAGAATTTAATGTACTGAATCATGGTGACTGTTGGTCGAATAATATAATGTTTCAATATAATGCAGAGGGTAAAATAATTGATACGCATTTCGTTGACTTACAAATGAGTCGTTATGGGTCACCGGCACAGGATTTAAATTACTTACTGTTATCTTCAACCTCTTTGGAGCATAAGGTGAAGAAGTTTGATTATTTCCTTTATTTTTATCATGACAAATTGGTGGAAAATTTAAAATTATTAAATTATACCAAACCAATTCCAACACTAAAGAAATTACATATAGAAATGCTGAAATATAATGAGTGGAGTAAGTACATATATAGCACATTTCGTTTTGAACTCATATATATATTGTATACATATATGAGTTAATTGTTATATATTAATAAATTCTTTTTGTCTTCATAGTTTTTGCAGTGTTACTCAATGTAATGCCAGTTGTACTGTTTGAGCCCTCGAAGAATGCTAATTCGGAGAATTTAATAAGTGAAAATGAAGAAGGCCAGAATTTAAAAATAGCTATGTTTAGAAATAAGACTTATGCAGCGCATGTAACACAATTAATACCTTGGCTAGATAAACGTGGTCTTCTGGAGTATTTACCAAATTTATGCTTTTAAAAAATATACTCTATTATTAAATAAGAATAAATGTAAATGAATTGTAATATTATTGTTTACTTATTCCAGATTTGTGAAAACTTCAATTAATTTGTACAGAATTATACATTAGAAATTCTATATTAAATAAAAGTATAAAAGTACAAATCAAAAGCAATAGATTCAACAAAATTTATTCGTAATTCAATTGGTATTGAAACAAGAAAAAAAAACCTGTGAATAGTTAAAATTTTTTGCACAATCTTAGTTGGAAAAGTAGCTTAAAACAAAGCGCCATTGATTAAATTTATCTATTAAACAAATGAATACAAAAAATAAAAATTGCGCATTTGAAACATTTGAAATTCGGTAACGTGTTTATTAAATCATTGTTGATAGAGCCCCAAACTGAAGTCAACGTTTTATTTTTTTATATACTTATTTATTGTACTCACTATGTAGAAGTCTACATAGTACATTTTAAACAAATTATAATCAAATACGTATGTACATACAGTCGTACATAAAATTTTTCTATTGCTTTACCTATTAACTATTTACGTGTTCCCATACTTTTACATATGTATTTCAATAACAAATTACAATCAATAAAACATAATTTTACCCTACACATTAGATAAGTGGTCGCACTTATGATCTACATATAGCTTGAACTGATATCAGGTGCAATACTAGTTCAAATATAGATTATAAAAGAAACACTGATAGGAAATTGTTTGATATACATAATAAAATGATAAAGCAAGAAATATTATCAACGAAACTAATTAGTGGTCTATTATTGGTCTGGGTTTTTTTAGTTATAAACTGAGTAAGAAGACCAATAAAATCTGTACTTCAATACGTTAAAAAGACGAAAAGATATTTTTGTAAAAAGTAATTTACAAAGGTTTAAACTTACAAAATACCTGGGGACAGGAGATTATTTTAATATATTTCTAAGAAATCTATTAACTGCATAATAACTTCAATCTTCTAAATGCATCAGATGCAAGATAAGATTTTTAAAAGTGCATTAAGTTAAATAACTTAATGTTTTGAGGTATAAGGTAAACCAGTAGTTTATGAAAATTCAACTATATATATTTTACAAAATACTTCGGAGAGTGTGTTTACATATATTAGGTCTGTTTCACGAGCTACTCATAATAACTTTGAGTCAGTGGCGTAACTACATTTTTTAGGCCAATAAGCGAATTATAATTTAGGAGCTCCTACTAATATCTTTTTATACCCTTTACACGAAAAAGTGTAAAAAAGGTATATTAGGCTTCTGAAGATTTTCGTATCGTCTGTTTGAAGTCTGTTTCAGTATCTGAACAATGTGTCAATTTGTTTTCATTTATTTTAAGAAAATTGTCTAGTTTTGGTCATTTCTTTAATGTTAATAATGAATGCATAAATTTATAATGGGGCCCCCTAAGTTCGGGGGCCCGAAAGCGTTGCTTCCAGTCGCTTCCCTGTAGTTACGCCACTGCTTTGAGTAAACACTGTGTATACACAAGCGCGTTCCACCAGCAAATTTTCAAGTATTTTTGTGTAAATTTTACTTTTGTTTTACTTATGTTTTACTGTGAGTAGCTCGTGGAACAGACCTATTATTATTATTTTAGAAAGAATATTAAATGTAAAAAAGTTTTTTATATTCAATGTTAGTGAGCAAATAAATTTTATATTATTTATTTATAAATTTTATTTATTTATAGAATTGATTGGTAACACCATGTTATTATTACCAAATGAATTTAATACGGAGAGTCTTCTGGTCTTATTTTTTATATATATCCAACTCCGATTTGGATCAAAATGAAAATATACGCTAAATGTATTTTATCGAATAGCACTCCAGAACTCTGACGTTTTCTATTATATTCTAAACTAATCCATTCCAATCATAAATGGAATTGTATGACTTGCAGAAGTTTAGATTCTTTTTTTTTCTTTAAAAAAAAACTTTAAACATAACACAATAAAAATATCATTAAATAAATTCTGATTAGAAATTTAAGTTAAGATAAGATGTTTATAGCTCACCCTTAATATCAGCATTAAAAAGAACATTCAATAAATTAAAGGTCTACAGAATGACGACCTACTACTCGAATTGTTGAAAACTACTTATTATTTCGGAACTCTTACAAGTTAGGAGATTTTAAGTCTCATAGACATCATGAAAACTCAAAGTAATGGCCCAAGGCACTACCTTGGTGTACTATGTGGGTATAAACCAAAACCCTAAACCGAAAATCAAAATTTCTAATCATAAAATTTTAAAAATACAGGTTTTGAGTCTGTATAATGTCCTAAACTTTTTACAACCTCGAATCAACTTTACTATTAAGTGTGTGCAATGCTTGAACTAAACTAAGAAGATAATATCTCTAATCATTGCTAGATATAATTTGCTAGATATAATAAGTATTATTATGTGTAATAATTTAAGTAAACCCCAAGTAAATCTGTTGTTTTCAAACTTAAATACATATATGTAGTTTCTCATAACTAAAACTAAAATTTAAATTAAAGTTGCGAACTAGACAGATCAAAGCAATTACTTTTGTTTGCTTGTATGAAAGTTTTTAAAAATTTTAACATTGCTTCTAAAATATATACCTATAAGTATATAGGGTATAATTAAAAGTTTATATAATAAGAACACAATCAAATAGATATGACGTTGAAGCGTGTCAATTACGAATTTAAACGTTTTTTCAAATCATTCTGATATAAAATTTATGAAGCAAAAATCGTATCAAATATTTATTTAATATGTTATTTTTTATTTTTAAAATGTATATTAGCTTAATCAATACAATCGGCACAATTTGATTTCAAAAAACCTCTATGAATGAGCTAAGCTAAAATTTAAAATATTTTTCCCACATACTTAACTATTACCAAGTCTAATAGTTAAGTATGTGTAATAGTCAAGCTGTTATCTAGAAATGATTCTACGTGATTATTAATGAGCGATTAGAATTATTATTACAATAAAATAACAATAGCAAAATGTTTCTATATATAAAAACAATAACATTCGTAAATTTTTTCTATCAAGTAATGCTGATATCGATTAGAATCTTGTACTCATAGATATAAACTTAGCAGATAAACTGAACGTAGAGCTTATCAGACTTAATAAGCGGAGAGTAATAATATATATATAAGCTTATTCGCACTATTATGAAATATTTTAACTATATTCTATTAAATTAAATTTCAGTTGGCTAAAGTTTATGCATGTGGCAGGTTCACATTAGAAGTTTATTCTGAAAAAAATACACAAAATTTGAATTAAATTTAATAAGTATTTAAATTTAAAATGGGTGCGCGTAAATCAAAATCTAGCTACGTTGTATCTAATCAAGATTTCACTTATGAAGGATCAACAGCGACATCAGCACCAACGACACAGCCTGCACCAATAGTACAACCTGCCGTCGAAGAAAATCGAACACCAGTCACAGCAACTACAGTGGAAACACGGCATGCAGAGAATACAGAAGTGAAACTACCAGAGATCGATATGAGTGTAGTGCCCACTTGGTTGACCGAAGAATACTTCGTAGATATACTCAAAGAAAATGTACCTAATTTCGATAAAATTACCGATTTCAAAGTGAAGCCAGCATTGAGACCAGGTGAAAATTATGCCACCCTTATGCTGCGTGTAAATATTGAAGTAGCATTGACAGGTAAGAATTCTATAAAAATATGATGAAGCTATGAAATTTTATGAAGAATATATTGAAGAGAATATGATAATCTCTTTATTTATTACTTATTCGGTATAAACTTTATTTTCTTCAGATAAAAACAGCAAAGCTATTTCGTATATGTTGAAAGTGCCTCACGATACTGAACAAATGAGACAAATGGCAGCATTAATGAATATGTTCATACCAGAAAACGAAATGTATTTCGATATTGTTCCCGAACTTGAAGAAATGTATAAAGCAGTGGGCTTGGAAATATCATTTGGTGCTAAGGCTTATAAGTTTAAAAAACAACCAATTACCGATACTGTTTTACTCGAAGATTTAGGTCCGCTAGGCTACAAAAATCGTGATCGCTTGCTTGGATGCGATGTGGAGCACACTCATTGGGTTCTCAAGAAATTAGCACAATTTCACGCGGTTTCTGCCACACGCGTAGCTACTAGAGGACCATTTTCCAAAATAATTATGGAAGGATTTTTCGATGTCGCAAGGCCAATTTTTGATACTATGATGAAATCATTTACAGATCAATTTTTATCTTGTATTAAATGTTATGAAAATGGAGAGTTTTATGCACCAATCATAGTAAGTTCACTTAATTGTGTTGTCTTGTGCATGTCATAAAGTCATGACGTAAGATAGGAAGAAAACAATAGACAGTAATTATGAGAAATCTTTATGTGCAGTACAAACATAAATTTGATGTTGATAGCCCCTTTAATATTTGCGTTACATATTAATTTTATTTGTCATAGACAAAAAACTCATTTCTTTACTAATATTTAATTTTATACATTAAAAACGAATTTGTTAACAAATTCTAACATTTGATTAAATTGATTATTAAATTATTAAAATATAATTTTTCTATTATTTCTAGAAATCATACTTTGACAAAATAGCAGAATATTCCGGTTTTTTCGTACCAGATCCAAATGAATTTAGTGTTATTAACCATGGAGATTGCTGGTCTAATAATATTCTATTTCAATATGCAAATGATGGCAAAATATTAGACACAAAATTTGTTGATCTACAATTACCTCGATATGGTTCACCTGCTCAAGATTTGAACTACTTTCTACTGACTTCCACTTCCCTTGATATTAAATTGAATCAATTTGATCATTTTCTACGCTATTATTATGATAATTTAATCGAACATCTTAAATTGTTAAAATATCCCAAAGACATGCCAACATTAAGTGAGCTACACGTACAAATGCTTATGTATAGCTTTTGGGGAGTAAGTGCTAGTATAACAACATTACCTGCTGTGTTATTAGATCCAACGGAAAAAGCCAGTTTTGATAATTTTTTGTCAGATGGTGCCGAAGGTGTAGAATTCAAAAATTTGCTTTTCTCCAATTCTCGATATATCCAACATATATCGAAAATATTACCTTGGTTCTATAATCGTGGTTGTTTGGAACCATTGTAAGTAAAATTTATTTTGTTTACCGATTATCTTAAGTTCAGCGACAGTTGAAATATTATACAAAAATCTAAAATTTTATTTTATTTTAGTACAAATAAACCACTCACTGCAATTCAAATATCAACGCCAGTAGAAATTTTACAAGTCACTGAGACCTCTGTTGAAGTACCCGCCGTTACGTCGGCGAATGACCAACAAGCAAAACCGAAGTACCCAGCATGGGTAACAGAAACGTATTTTATTGA